TCCCTCTTCCCCCCTTCCCCCCCTCTCTATTTGATCTATCCTTTAAAAAATGTAATAAAACATATAAATAACTGTATTTCTCTCTTTCCTGTCTTTTTTCCAACTTTCAGGGAGAATTCTCCTACGATCTTGAACAAAAGAAAGTAAACGAAGTCACAGTAAAATTTGGAAGCTGGCGTTGTTATAATTCTTTTTTTTTTTTATTAAGCCCAGTAAGATACCAGACTTGGCCTTAAAAAACTTGCGGTTGAAATTGAAAGGAAAGACCGATACATGTATTTATCACCCACCATCTCGATCTACGTCATCGTTGCTTATGTTTGTTTGCTGTATTTTGTCTCACGCATAAAGGTAAGATGAATTATTTCACAATACCACAAAAAAAAAAAAATCTCTAGTACGGGTGGGGTTCGAACCCACGCGGAAATAATTCCATTGGATCTTAAGTCCAACGCCTTAACCACTCGGCCACCGTACTGTTGTTGCTAAGGGGTCAGGAAATTGACAATATCTAACTTTACACTCGTAAGTGTGTCATGTTAATAACATTATTTTTGGAAGAGCTTGCGATAGTTCCTTTATGTATTCTGAAGGAGTATAAACTAATCTCGTTAAAAACAAACTGGGAGACAATATTATTAGATACGCAAGATATATAGATTTTGCGACAACTATCGTATTTACGGCTCTGAGTTCTTGACGTCACAATATTTACAGTAAACAAAGGTTGTTACTAAAATGGCGGCCGCCTAGTAACGAGGATGCCCGGTTCCTACGTTTAAAACAAAGTACGTTGGTCCATTGATTGTGACAACACCCTTTGACGTTGATTTTATAACTGGTTTTCATTGGTGTTATTTGTAAGTAATAGCTGGTGTTCTGCTTCCTTCTTTGCTGTCTGGTACAACGATGCTAAATGCCGGTTTTATTGTATAAATTCTTAAATGATTAAATGACTTAAACATTGAAAATAATGAAGTTGAAGCCTATTGGTCCGTCATACATAGGGTAGGTTGGGGCAACTTTGACAGGTTTGTGTAGTGCTGCAAAAGTAACTGAAACTGCTCCCACCTTTATGAAAGAACACAGGCTATCTTGGTATCGTTGTGTCAAGCAGCCATTCTACTTCAGTTCAGTACTTCTGAGTTCTTGATTATTATGTTCTTTACTCTCTTTGCATTCCGAATTTTCAACCAATCACGATTTTGTGGCATACGCTTGCTTGGGGCAACTTCAACAGGGGTTGGTGCAAATTTGACCCCACGCATGGGGCAACTTCGGCATAGCCTCTGACTCTGACAGTACTAACAAGGGCTGTTGGCAACTTCGACAGGGGTCGGATATCTTCAACACAGTACTGGGTTCTTATTCAACTTATTGTGCCCCCCCCTCTCTCTCTCTCTCTCTCTCTCTCTCTCTCTCTCTCTCTCTCTCTCTTGCACACTCACACACACACACACGCACACACTCTCACGCACAGGATTGAGCAGTCTAGTCTCAGTCTAAATTTCTGCTAGTTTGTATCTGACCGATCAAGTAATTTTGACCCAAGATGAAAATGATAATACAAACAAGATTAAACTAAAATGTGATAGTTTGTTAAAGGTGATTCTACTTATGAAGCTGGTAGGTCGAAATTGCCCCAGCCCCTGTCGAAGTTGCCTTGTTTTGCCCTGTCGAATTTGCACCAGCAACCAATATCTCACCCCATCATTTTAAATAAATAGTGTAAATATTCATATAATCGACATTTCTAATTCTAGATGGATTTAAATGAACCTAAGGATACTAAAGTTTCGTTAAACATAACGGATATTTTGAAGCAAAAAAACAAGCGTGTGTATAAGAAAGCAACCCTCGATCCTATCGGCTGGGCCTCTGAAACCCCCCATCCCCCCTAAATTCCCCAGTGTAAGACGGAAAATGTCTAAGCCAGATTATTTTTCTGCATTCCTTTCAATTCCATTTTACACAAGTTTGAGGGTACATTATAAAAGTTAGGAACTGAAGACGACAACCCCCCAAAAAAAAATAAATAAATTGATCATTGAAGTTAGAAACTGAGAATGGCCAGGATGGGATGATGCAGGGCAATGAGAATGGGTGTGTGTCTACCTACACTGCAGAGATGTGCAATCTTCTGAAGGGATGAGCATGATTCCGCTCCTAAGGGGACTTACAATTTTATCCATCTGCATTTAATGCATGAAACTCTTGAAGGCCATGAAAGCAAAATGATATAGATATGTAATTGCTGTGATGTGGTGTAGGTTTTTCATGCACCTCTCAGTGTAGTGCAGTCCATTGAGAGGTGTGACATCGTCTGTATTGCAAGCAATCTACTCAAGTCCGTTTGGGTACTTTTTATTTCAGAGTCAAAAAAACTAGTTTTTGTTGTGTTGTTCCTATCAGGAATCATGAAAAGCAAGAAAATTGTAAGCTTTGACCACTGCATTAAACTGCATTTTGGTGATGTTGAAAGGTGCATCTTTGATAGAGCTTTGAGAGGGTGTAGAAATAAAAAGGATTAAACTCAAATCTGGTGCCTGGTGATAGGAGTTTTGTGAAACTCTTCAACATCCTTTTGGGAAATTGATGCAAGGTTGTTTGCACCATTGTTCTGCATAGAATTGAAGGCAATATTGTGAGAAAAGCCTGTTGAGAAATAACTAATTGTTTGCATCCTTCATAAGACTGAACAAATTGACACATATGACACCTTTTTCTCACAGAGGTCAAGGAAATAAAGCAAACTTTGTCCTCAAACTTCTGGTTCCAAGATGGGGAACTGTGTGTCGTTACTGAAGAGGAAAAAAGAGCCCAACAAGTGAGTGAAAACTGATTCTTTAGGGTTTTTTTTAATTCAGATAAATTTTAATATAATTTCATGATTTTTGTACATAAATCTTTATATTTTGTTGTTGTTGTTGTTGTTGTTGAGGGAGGGGGGGGGGGGGGGGGTGTCTCTCTCTTTCTATTTTAGTGGATTGTGTAAAAAAAAATGAACTTGCATTTTTATTCCATTTAATAGTCTCTTGGTATGATATTATGGGCTTCATCCCATAAAGATGGATTTGCGTAGTGCTTTGATTAACATTCTTCTCTTTTGATATCCTTTGATTATTTAATGCAATTTGTTTTGTTCTTAACATTTCTCCTCTGAATGGAAATTGCTCACAGGTAGAGGATTATTGAATGGTGTTGATTCCCTTTATGATATTGAGCTGTGTTTGTGGTAGCCTGGTAGGTATCAGTGTCAGTCAAGAGTATTGATTGTGCATTATTTGGTTGTTCCCCCAGGGCCATAACGCTGGCCATTATAGGACTGGATAATGCTGGGAAGACAACACTATGCTCCGTTTTTACGGGAGGTAAGATTTTGTGTGATTTGTTTTGTTCCAGGGACAAAGTAAATTTTTCTGTCTGACAATAGGGACCTACCTTTTGTATCTGCTGTATTTTTGACATATCCTCTTTATGCTGGTTGGTAAAAAGGAAAGATGACCTGTCTGTGAATATCACCAAAACACGATCTTATTGGGGGGGGGGGGGGGGGGGGACTTTATAAAAATCGAAGAAATTTGGGAGATGCACGAATATATAATATGTTAAAGGACATAACTTCTTCACTTCTCTCCACGTGAGTGTGAAGAAGTATTAGTACCATTGTGTCTATTTACCATGCTGTAGGACAAAAAAAAACGTAATCTTACTTCAATCTATATTTGCATACAAGTTTTGACGTAGCTTACAACAAGTGGGCAAAATAACTTCATTTTGCCTTGACAGGCTCAATGAATAACTATTTATTAGGTTAGAGATTTACACCAATTGTTTATCATGTATATCTGGCAGTTTTGCAATGTTTTTACTCAGTTAATACAGCAATTGGAAAGAAATCTGAAGGTCCGCAAATTTCATCTCAGACATGTGTTTGCTCACTGTTTTTGGTTGGGTTTTTTTGTTGTTGTTGTTAGGAAGCCATTTTCCTTCTACTCCCTTTACATTCTCCCTCTAGTTCTCAAGGTTCATGTGCATTTTTCGACTCACAAATTAACAGATTTTTACCAACATGATGTAGTTTTTTAATGAGGTTCAGTATTCCTAGCCGTTCAAGCAGCCAAATGCCATTTGTGTCTCGATGTGGTGGAAACAGGTGCTCGTCAATTTTGGGCGTATGTTCATTTCTCTTCTTTTTGGTGAAAAAAATATTTCCTATTTATCTTGAAAAGAAGTTGAAATATTTGCAGTTGAAGGAGGTCAGGGTCGCCTGGTTTCAGAGGTAAAATTAGCGAGAACATGGCCGCTAAAATTTGGTAACTGCCATAGCCTTAGAATTCTTGGAAACTGAAAATTTACATTTTTTGGTGCTTTTTTCCAGTAAAATTCATACAAAAATAAGTTTTTAAATGGACATAAAAGGTGTTGAGCCCCCCACCCCCCAAAAAAATAATTTAAAAAATGAGGGGGAAAAAATGTGTCCATCGGCCCAAAAATACCGACTTCTTTGATTTCATTATTTTGATGAGCGCCTGATTTCACCAAGATGGCTCACATTTGTGAGGAAGCTTTTATTTTAGTGTCCACAATTTCTTTTTTTTTTTTTTTGCATTCGATTATCGGAGCTGCTTTCCTGATTGTGCATTTATCTTCCTCTTTCTACTTCTTTGACATATTAAGTGTGTATAGTTTACACATGGGGCCTCTGAGGCTGTGTCGACGACTGAGAAGACAAGGCACTTGACCCCTGCCATCTGGGGATTGTGGGTGGGAGAACCCTGAGAGAAAGCCCAAAGTTGTCCACATCCCATACTTGATAGAGCTTGGAATGGAACTTTGTAGTTTTCTTATTTTTTAAATTTGATTTGATAAGAGCTTTAAAGCGCTCACAACTGCACAAGGTCATACGAGCATGCGAGAACACGAGTTGGTTGTTTTCCCTCAAGTTCACAGCACATCTACTGTGGAATTTTGCAAGAGAGGAAAAGATTTTACCTGCTAACTAACAAGTCCTCAGAGTTTTTCTGTATTTTATGTCTTTTGCCTTGTATATTTGTAAATTTTGTTTATTTCTTTGTTTTGACAGAGACACCAGATCCTGATATTGCCCCAACTGTCGGATTTCGCAATGTCAAATTTTCCCACTCCAACTTTGATGTCACGTTATTTGATGTTGGAGGAGGGAAAAGCATCCGTCCCATCTGGAAGACTTACTTTGGGGAAGTGTTTGGCATAATGTATGTGCTTGACTCAAGCTCTCGGGCCAACTTGTTAGAGGCAAGAGAAGTTCTCCGCGATGCTCTGGAGCACCCCCAGATCTCTGGAAAACCGATTCTTGTGTGAGTTTAACTAAGTTTTATTTCAGTGGTTTGCAAAGATTGATTTTTGTAATGGCCTCAGTGACTGTTTTTTTTTTCTAAAATAACAGTATTTAACACAAAAACATCAAAACAAAACCTTTTTTGTAGCTCAGTTTTGCAATGTTACCTTACCTTCTTAGAACAGTCAGTTTTGCTTTGAGTGTTTGTGTGTGTGTGTGTGTGTGTGTGTGTGTGTGAGTTTGTGTGTGTGTGTATGTGTGTGTGTGTATGTGTGTGTGTGTGCGTGCGCACGTGCGCGCACATGTGGGACAAAGAAAAAAGAAAGGGAAAGAGAGAGAGAGAGAGAAGAGGAGAAAGAGGGAGAGTGTGTGTGTTTATTGTGCTGGTTGCTATTAATGAATAATTTTATTTGTTTTTGTCATCTTTGCTGTAAAGCGCATGGAGCATTTCCAAAATGAAAAAGCGTTTTATAAATGCTTCCCATTTTTATAGTTAGTTATCATTTTGTCTTTGTGGTAAATACATCTTTTGATTTTCTTTTTTTAGTTTGGCCAACAAAGTGGACAAGGATGACCACTTAGAAGAAGTGGACATCGTCCATGGACTCAAGTTGGAGGAGACTGCCAATGCTAATAACTGCCCATCACATTTGGTCAGTAACCGTTTAGAATATAGTCGTTCTCCATCTTTTCTTTTGTTATTAAAAGGTTTTTGTCAGAGTTACTTTTTGGAACATTCATAGCACCTAAGTATGGACATGATTCTAACTCCATATGGATTGAATTAACCTCTTCTAATGTCTTCTCAGCGTATGCTTATTAAAAAGCGATGGTCCTCTTTTTCTTTTTGTATAGTCTCCTTGAGCTGTAAGCTGAATTTGTGTCTGAGAATGAACAAAGTAATCTCTTCATCTTTCTTTACAGTCACTCTTTTGTTTTTGTTTTCTCATCTTTAGCTGTGAGTTGAATTTTTTTCCTCAGCTTGAATAAAGTGGTTTCTTCTTTTTTCCCATCCTTCTTTCTTTTTCTCATTCCCATGAATGAGACAGTATTTTCTTTCTTTCATTCCTTCTTTCTTTGTCTCATTCTCGTGAATAAAATTGTATTTTCTTTCTTTTCATCCTTCTTTTTTTTTTCTCTCTTTCGCTTGATTTTGCTGTTTCCTAATCTGAAGTTGCATGTCCCCAGGTGATGGTGTCGGCCCTGGTGGGTGTGGGCACAAAGATGGACAAGGAGCTTCAGGACGGGCTCCAGTGGCTGCTAGAGAAGATCCGCGGGTCGCTGAGCGAGCTTGAGCCGCGCGTGGCCTCAGACATCCGGGCGGCCACCGAGAGACGGGACAAGGAGCGCGAGGAGAGGAAAGCGCGGGTCCAGAGACAGAGAGAGGAGAGGTGACTTTGACGTCATTGTGTTGGTTTCCTTTTCTTTTTCTTTTTTTTCGGTTGTTGTTGTTGTTTACAAAAGATTTAAGGTTTTTTTTTTAGGATGTGGGTGTGGTGGTGGGTGGGTAGGGGGGGGGGGGGGGCTCTATACAAACATATGTCTGTGGTGGTGCAATCAGGGTTAAAGTTTGTTCGTGTGTATGTATATTCTGTACATATGTGTATGTATCTTTGTCTGTGTTTATGTGTATATATATATGCATATGATCCTGTGTGACCTTCAATTAAGTTGTGACTATTTAAGGTATGCACACTTTCTTTTTCCCTTGAGCACACACACACACACACACACACACACACGCACACACACACACACACACACACACACACACACACACACACACATGTATACATATATTTACATGTATTTGTGTTACCAAAGCGACCGGAAGTGGCAGTGTCCATTATTCTTGTTCCTTCATACACTCTATCCTCAGGGAGAAAGAAGAAGAGAGGGAAAGGAGACGTCTTGGTACAGAGAAGGAAAAAGAAGACAGTGAAGATGACGATATTGTGGATGGAAATCCTTTTAAGGCTTTAGATATGGACACTTTAAAGCAAAAGGTAAGCGGTTGGTTCACATCAGATCTGTAGTTAGAGTGTACTGTCTCTTTTTGTTCCAGTTTTCTTATCAGTGTTTTTGGCCCTATGTTTAGGACGTTTGTCATCGCTCACAGAAGTTGCAAGTTCAATTCTTATGTGGGAAACTTATTTTATCAAGCATCTCCATCTGTCTGCTGGGATGCTGTATCCCGCTCCACCTAGGCGGAGTTGAAGCAGCTTGCTACATGAATGATCTATGTTGGGTTGAAGGGGCTGATAACTCATTCGCTACGCCGAGCAGTGGGGGGCAGCGCGGCTAAAGTGCTGTCAGTACGCTAAGCCGCCCCCGGCGGCTCGAGAACCGATCTTCAATTTTAGCTTAGATTCTCTTCCAATCCACATATCCATGTTAAAATAAAGGTCATAATATAATGTTGACTTCCGGGTCAAGCATTTCCACTGAACATCGGAAATTTAGATTCAGTTTTGAAACGCAATTTCGTAGTTTATTCGACTTTGTTTTATCGCGATGCCAAAATTATAGCCCGGACACCAGTCTTAGTAATTTTACACAACAAAATCTATCATTATTTTGCCCACTAAAGAAATGTTTGACTTTTTTTTTTAATATTGATACGATTGGACTCATATTGCCAATGCACTGTTATTGAGAAATCAATATTTTTGAGTGCTAGATCTAGATTCTAGATCTAGGTCAAAATCTAAATTGTCAAAATGTTTTTTTTCTCACCAAAATCACTACTTTTTGATGAAATTACACAAAAGTGCAACTCAAGACCTGTATAGGTTTATTCCAAATGCAATTCTGAATAATTCCGTATAATATACGAGTGGGTTTTTTCTGTTTGTGATCGTTATTCAAGATTATAAAAATTTTTATTTTTTTTCAATATCGGATGTTATGATCCAAATGTACAAATATTATGGAATGTATGTAAATAACAGCTAACTTTTCAATATTTTCCAGTTCTATATTCATTTATGGTTATTTTGATGCATCATTTGACTAGGTGCAAACATATTTTTTGAGTTTCACCAAAGATTAGTAATTTTTTATTTTCAAATTTTATCCGCATCCATTCAAAATTGCGTTGCATAATCGCCTATTACATGAACCAAAGTTTAAAAATACATAAATAAACATTACAGATGTATTCTACAAACCATACTGAAAATATTGGTATATAATATGTTGGTATTTATTTGAATTTGTGGCCCCAAAGACCTTTTAACTGCCCACTATTCATCATCTCTTTTCGCCCTCCCGAAAAAATTCGTCCACTAGCCGAAAATAATACGTAGCGAATGAGTTAAACATTTACTTTTCAATCATGTTTTCTTGTAAAGTATGATTTGTTTCTGATCTTTGCAATTGGGAACAATCCTTTTTCTGCATCTGTTGTTCAAATGAGTAGTTAGTTATAGTTAGTAGAAGTTCGGATTTTATATTTTGGAGAATATAATAGTACTTATTAAAAGAACATTTATTTATGCAGAATTGTCATTATTGAATTTGTAATTTTGATGGTAAGGAAGAGAAATTTTCTTAGAATATCATGATTTTCTGAACTATAAAATTAATTCTGGCAAATCTGAAAGGCTGTCTGGTTTATCTGTTTTCTGTTGTTCTTTTTCCAGGAGCAACGTTTGAAAGAGGAGAAGAGGAGGAAACAGGAAAGAATGCGTGAGCTGGACCTAGAAGATGGGAGATTCAGGAGGAGTAAGGACGACTCCAGTTTGGGCTATGCCTCAGGTGTACGAAGATCTCTGGATGATTATCAGTTGGAGTCGAGGGCTGGGGGCAGGGAAGAGAGTTCTGGAAATAACTACGCTGCCTTGAATCTGTTCGGCCGAGGTGCCAATTCTCGTGCCTCGGCTCTACCTCCTTTGGAACCCTTAGGGTCAAGGGTCGTAGAGGGTGCAGAGAAGAAAAAGCCCAAAAAGAAAAAGAAATTGACAGACTATCACCTTGATGATAGAGATGAGGAGGGTGAATTTGGCCATGCAGAAAAGAGAGATGCCATTGGCCGTTTGGGGTTGAATGTTCATGACCTTGACTCCTTGAATCGGGATCATGATGTTCATGATCTGACCCCAAGAGTGACAAAGCCAAAGAAAAATAATAAGGTGGTGAGGGCTGGACGGATTGATGAACATGAGGAGGAGGATGATCCTTACAGAGATCTCGGAGTAGATGGTCGGTCACGCTATAAAAATCTGGCTAGCCTTCGTCAGAATAATTACGAGGATGTGCTCCCTGCAAAGAGAGGTAACAAAGATATGGGTCGCTTGAACAACAATGACAGGTTCCCCAGAGACTTGGAGAGGGAGAACTCCTTGTACAGAAACTCTCTGAAGAAGATATCACCTCCAAACATGACCAGATTTGAGGAGGATGAAGAGGACGACAAAGACGAGGGCATTGAGGAGGATTCCGACAATGGGAGCGATGATGCAGTAGACAAGTACAGAAGGTCTCGAAACGTTAATGGTGTGAATAGAAATCGCAAGAGCCGAGACCAAGATGTCTACTCCAGCAGAGACAGAAAGCTGCGGGGCCAGAGCAGAGACAGTGATGATGAAGAGGAGAGAGACGACTATCTCTCCCATAGCATTCTCAAAGACACCATGCGTTTTCCAACAAGCCCCACGGATGATGAAGTTCCCGTTGATTTCAGAAAAGAAATGGAGAGGCTTCGGAATCGTAAAGTCAATGATTACAGGTCCAAGCACAATGGGATTGATAGTGATAACTACTCTAGTTCCAGGCAAAACGCCCAGCGTGGCATGAGACGATATGATGACGATGAAGAGGACAAATTGGGCAATGCGAGAAATCGAAATGCAAGGAATGTCCGATCACCCATGGAAGATGAAGGTTTGTTAATTTATTGTTTATAATTTATACCGGTAATCTATGTGTGTGCTTTTGTTTTTAAGATTTTGTTTGGTTTTAAAAGATCATTTTCTTCCTTCACTGTGTTATGTTATTAAAAGACCTTGAAAAAATGTCAGCTTTTTGCTCTGAGGGTACCCTGTCACATCATACTTGAATATAAGTGTTATTTCTACTTGTTTTTATCACATAATTTTAAGCCTTACTGATCAGCATGTATGGTGTAGTGGTAAAGTTCTTTGCCTATGTATGCACAAGATTTGGTGCTCGTGTGGGGAAATAATTTTTTGTGTATTTTTGCCTTTCTGCTGTACCATACTCTTCTATGGTTGGCCGTGGCAGGTAATGTCTAAGCAGCCCTCCTAGTAAAAGATATAAGTTGTATTTGATGGTGGCTTAGAAATTTTCTGGTCATCATTGGGAAGTCCTGCTTGACGCTGCAGGACCATTTCGAAGGTGTGTTTATTTCTTAGGTCATCCAGTTTTCTTAGCTTCAGGTCAGTGCTAGGTTTCTGAAGTCTGCAGTCAAATCTGAGCTTTAAGTGTTCATTGGCTACCATGTGTTCCTCTGATGATTGCTGGAGTGTCTACATGCATGTAGAAGGTCTTTATGAACTCAAAATATTGTAGATATTTGATGCTACATTTCAGCGAATCCATGATCTACGCTCAATATGATGTTCTGTCCTTTGTTTCCTTTCTTCTCCATGCTTGTGAAACTTTTTAATGCTTACTATTAAAAATAACTTTTACTGAATATTTTTAAAAATCTAATTCATTTTCACTTTGATATATGAAAAGTCTTTTTTATTTGACTGAGTGAGTTTGACTATTGGATTCTTCCAATGCCACATTCAACCCTTTACATGTACAACAGACTGGTTTTACACAAACATGGAACATGAAAAGAGTTAATCTTGACAACATCATTTAAATCTTCCATTTATTTAATGCTTTTTTTGTTTTTCACAGAGGATTTCAACTCGGTGCGGCACTCAGGCCAAAGCGAGACTCGTCGCAAAAAGAAGAAGAACCTGTTACGTTCGAACAAGCTGGCACCTTCCGACGATGATGAGAACGAGCCCCCGTCCAGTCATCGCTTCAGCTCCCCCCGTATGGTGCAGGAGCACGGGTCTCGAAACACATCCGATGCTGACACACCCACCCGGCACGGAAGGAACGTGCGAACAACACACATTCATCGTCAAGATTCTGGTAAGCTACTGTTATAGAATATTCAGAGGAGGGGATAGATTTGGTTATACTGTCAGCTTTTCAAAACTGTGTGGACAATTTTTTGTTCTAGTATTTTAAGCCCTTGGAAATTTGAAATTATGATTATTTGCACTGCTTTGGGAGGAAAAAAGAAGAAAGAATTGAGTGGTCTTCTCTTCAGTTCTGGAAATTTGCCTTGTATTGTTATGTGCATGCTTGTCTAACTGGTAATGAAAAAACTTGTTTTATTTCACTGTAAGGTTATTTTAAGAGGCAGGCATACTAAATACTGGTTTAACAGGCATACTAAATACTGGTCTAACAGGCAAACTAAATACTGGTCTAACAGGCAAACTAAATACTAGTCTAAAAGTCACTTTACACATGTATGTTAATAAACATATAAGCCAGTCAAAGTCTATATCATACATACAAAGGCATACTAGTCCATCAGTCATAATATACAAACAGAGACATACCTGTTAGACTGAGTTACATTATACGTACAAAGGCATACCTGTCCAACAATTTTATACCAGTACATGATAAAAAGGCATACTTGTCAGTCTAAGGCATGTCATCCATATTATAGAGTTACACTGGTCAATCAAAGAATAGTTGTGTGTACAAAGGCATGCTAGTTGATTAAAGTCACATTATATGTACATACGAAACTATAAATTGGTCGCTTTTAAGGACAAGCGGGCTAACCCAGATTTTGGGGTTTCCAGAAATCTTGACCTACACCAAAAATGGGCATTGCCCTACCTATAGGAGAAGTTTTGTTTCCTTGGTGTGTAAATTTGTTCAGTTATACTTATAGAGAAAATTCTCCTTGTCTTTTAAAGAAACTGAACTAGGGTCCAAAGACTTTACCTTCGATTTTCTCAAAACAGCTTTTTTCGGGATAGCCCTCTTGTGCTTAAAAGCGACCAATTAATGGATGCACCCACATAAACACAACATTGCTGGTCGCTACCAGGCAGCACTCACTTTTTTAGCTAGGGTTACCATCTTGTCCTAGACACTCTCCCTCCATATTGTCTCCGAATATTTCTTGACGTTTCTGAGGGGTCAAGTTTCATCATTTGACCTGTAACACCTCCCCCCCCCTGCCATCCCATTAATGAGTAGAAGACCCAGTTCAGCTCATTTTAGACTAATTATGCTTTTTCTTCTCTCTTTTATCCTTTGTATATTGGTGCAAACTGCCAAGCTTGGGCTTTTCTACAGCTATGGGGAATCTTACGTAAGCTGACAAAACTCCTTTTTTTTATTCACAGTAGTTTCGAGATAAAGAGGGTAACCATTTAGAAGAGGCATTATTCAGAAATTTGAATTCTAATTTATAAGAAGGAACTAGTCACAGTTTCACTTTGAATTTTTCTCACAAAGAGGGTAAATGATGAAGCTTTCGATTTAGCAAATGAAAAAATTTGGTGCCAAAAAATAAAAGAGACGTTTTGTGAGCTTATGGCTGAATTCTGTTCTGTCACATGGAGCAGAGACCTGGGTTTTAACAAAAGCTGCTAGTAGTAGGAGGAAAGTCTGAACCTTCATCAGTGGATTCTTGAAACAGAGTTGAACCTGCCATGGTTGCCTAGGTCACCTTAACACTTTGCGGTCATTTACTGCAATAATTGGACGCTGAAAATGTTTCCGTTCCGGTCACCAGGCCCGAGAAGTCCGCTGCAGTCACTCTCCTGACTGGATGACCAGATGGGGTATTTTGTACTGATGACGGTGTGATTGCAAAGTGTTTAAGAAACAGTGAGAGAAGGCAGAGGAAAGAACAATGAAAAAAAAAATAACGCTGAGAAGATGGGGATAGATTAAATCTATGGAAAATCTGTGACAAATGTAACCCAAAAGGCTTTGAGATGGAATCTTTAGGGTCAGAGGAACAAAGGCCAAAACCAGCATGATGGAGAAAGGTGGAGGTAGAGATGCTGAGAAATTGAACAAAATTTGGATACAGCTTGAAAAAGATGTTCAGAAAAGACAATATTTAAAGATAAATTTTCAGCATCCTATGTTTTTTAGGGAGTTACAAGACGAGAGAGAGAGAGAAGTGCCTATGCCCCCATCATCTGTCCACAGCATTAGATGAGTAGCCATGTTTTCCGTAAGCTGACAAAACGCCTTTTTCAATTTTAGCACCGATATTTTTTATTTGCTAAATCCAAAGCCAGATCAGGTATCCTACTTGTGTGAAAAAATCAAATTGAAACTATAACTAGATTTTGAATAAATTAGTATTCAAATTTCAGAATTACTCTATTTTTGAATGATTACGCTAACAAAAATCCTCTTTTTCTTGAAACTGCTCTGAAAGAAAAAAGGCATTTTGCCAGCTTACGGCTGATGTATCTGTGTACTTCAAATGCTTGTCTTTACCTATACCTTCAGCCTCACACTCACAATGTTTCTCGCTACCTCCCCAGATTTTGGTATGAAATGGGGTCTGGCGGAAGAGTTACCCACTGTGGACAGCAACTACAATGTGACCAGGATGAGGCACCCAAACTTTGATGACAGCGACGGCGGTGATGTCGTCTTTTAGCACGTCACTTACACAGAGTCCAGCGGGGTGGATGATGTGTTTTTTCTGTGATAAACAAAAGGAGGACCCTCCAAACTGAAGACAACTTTACGGCTCATCCAACAAATTTTCATTAGAGCTTTGAGTTTTTGAAATTGTTCTTTTAGAGTCACTTTTTTTTTTGCTGTGCTGTTCAATCTGCTTTTTATGCAAAATTGTCCTTCTGGTATAAGGGAAGAGGAAACATTTTTTAAAAGTTATCTAGCGATAAGTCAAATGTTTACATAAATAAAGTTTATTTTTATAGTCCTCGCAGTGGAACACGCTTTTTTAAAACGTTAGTCAGATAATTTTTTCAATGTTCAACAATTTACTACACATAATTTGTAAAAGAAGAAAAAAAATCCCATCCATTATCGTTCATATTTATGAAATAAAGAGTAATGAGGAGTTCTTGGAATATTTGTGAACTGGAAAATAATTTTTTCTGTTCCGGGTGATATTTAGGGCTAAAATTGCTCAGATTGAATGAGCTCTCTGGAGGGGAGGCTGAGAGAGTGAAAGTAAAATGCTCATTTGCTCAATTTGAGGGCACTTTGCTCATCCTCACTAAATAGTAAAACTGATGTGTGAGGCTTCGTGGTGAAATCAGGTGCTCGTCAAAACAATGAAAAATGAAATCAAAGAAATCTTCTTTTTTCTGGCGGCCTGGTAATTTGTGTCGAATTTTTGTTTTTTGGCTCACCACCTTTTACGTCCTTTTGAAAATACATTTCTGTGTGGGTTTTACTGAAAAACGTTGATTAAACGCAGAGAAATGTAAATTTTCAGTTTCCAAGTACTCTCAAGCTTTGGAAATCACCAAACTTTGATGGCCATTTTCTCACTTATTTTACCTCTAAGAGTAAAACCAGGCGATCTTCATTTCCTTCAATGCAAATATCTCGACTTTAGCTTAAGATAGATGGGTATTTTTTTCACCGAAAGCAAGATAAATGAACAAGCTTTAAGATGATACCAATAACTCCACAAGCCCAAAAATTTATGAGCGCCTGATTCCACCATGTCATGACACATATCATTGTGCCAGAGTGGAAATGGTACATCTCTGTGTTGGAGTGTGTCAATTGATTGTTAACCCTTTATTGCATAGTGTTGCCCTCAGGCAACATACCAAAATTAGAACTGCAGTTCCCAAAACTTTTCCATGGTTGTTTCCCCTGCTCTGAGTGTTTGAATTTGAAAGTAGTTAGTTTCCAGCAGTCTGACACCAGAGGCAATGCTTGGGTGCCCTGAGCCTTCGTTTACAAGCACTCTTTTGACAAGAAGAATATCAGATGGAATGTTTCATACTACCATCAAAGCCATTAAGACTAAGACCATGTAGGAGACGATTTAGGAGAAAAAGAAGAAGATGGGCTGCTTTGGCTTGACCCTGCTTGTCAGGGACAAGCTGGGCTGAGTGGGGTATAACATCACAGCAGACAGATGGGCTGAGATACTCAATAAAATATCTTTCCCTCACAGATATCTTACTCATGTATTGTACATGCAAGGAGTATGTTGTAAAAGAAGTGGTATGTTGTTGAGTAAAGATCTAGGGGAAGACCGAGTGGAATCTGGAGAAAAATTACAGAAATTGATGTACAGAAAAGTGGGAAGACATGAAATAACATCACAAAAGGCTAGCCCAGATTAAAGAAAGGTGGAAAATGTTTGTTTGTGTCCTATACCCTGGTGCGGGGTGAGAAAGGCAATGGGGATGATGATTTTGTTGAGTGTTTACGAGTGCCTTCCAACGCTCACATATCTGTGCCAGACATGGTCCCTAACAAAAGCCCTAGAGAGGAAACTGGTCACATGTGAGATGAAATGCATAAGAAGAGCGGTCAACAGAACAAGAAGAGACAAAATTAAAAGTGAAGTCATAAGGGACACCGTGGGAGCAACACCAGTCCTACCACACATTGAAAAACAAGGTCAAGTGGTTCGGACACCTCAGGCGGATGCCCTCAAACCATCCAGCTCTGAGAGCATACAACACTAAATATTCTGGATGGAGAGCCAGAGGAAGACCAAGGCGACGATGGAGTGAATCTGTGGCAGACACCCTTAGAGCTCATGGGATGTCCCTCCTACAGGCCACATGACTTGCTGCAGACAGACGCCTGTGTCTCCCCGCAACACCCCAGGGTACAAGCGGAAGAAAAAAGTAAAAGTAAGCAAAGTAAAGTAAGTTTATGAGTGCATAGCATTGCGAGAAGAATAATCACCTTGAGATTGAAAACAAAATGGTTTGTAAAGATTATGTGTATTGCTTTGGGATGAAAAGTGATAGATGTGGATGAGTGAGAAGTGACACTGTAAAGTGTTTGACTTGTGTGCATTTTGACTGATACAACATTAGGCTTGAGCACATAAATTAATGAAAGGTTTGCAGACTACAAACATATACATAAGACAGTTGTTGCGTTTGATATTTTCAACATTTGTCTCAATCATCTGATATTACTGCCTGTTTTCTTACTTTTCTCCACACTTTGTTTCTACTTTCGTTTTAAACTCGAACACTCAAAAACGTACGTATTTTGTGTGGGGGAGGAGGGGGGGAGGTGGTAAGCCTGCAGTGTGAAATATGAAATAACTGTTGAAATGGGAAAGACAGGCAAAAAAACAATTGCTTGATAACTTAACACCCCCCCCCATTTGCGAAAGGGCCACAATCAATACTTATTGGTGTTTGGGACTTATTATGTCATGGGCAAAGTGAGGGATTTGGAATACATGTGGATAACATTCCAAGAGCAATGTACTTGTAAGAGGAACATCAGCTTTGGGAAGATGGTAACTTTGTTGTTACCAGTTCTTCCTCAATGGATGCCTTATTGTTACTGCTGTATTTCTGCTGTGGTTCTTTTTGTCCACAAACATGCCTGTCTTGTTGTGTTGTTCGATTGTACTGTTAAAAATGTTGCTTTTGAAAATAGCATTCGCAGACATTTCCAATTGATGAATGCGTTGAAGGGATGTTAGGGAGGAGGGGGGGGGGAAGGGAGGGGTGAGAGAGAGAGGGGGGGTGTAGGAGAAGAGGGAGGGGTGAGGGGGGGGGGGAATGTACAACAGGGTGTATTCTGAAAAACATTTCATTCAAATGATTGTGAACGTTGTGGCTTTGTTCAAAGCACTGAAAAGGCCCATGGTTTGGGAAAAAAGAGCTGCCTCTTTGGTGACTTTCATCAATTTTGTGCACATGTAAACTAAATGTGTTGATATGTATGGTTATTTATATTGCCTTGAAAACTTACAATAATGGAATGCTGCATATAAACTTTTATAAAATTCTCTACTTTTAGGTACTGTAATCGACTCATATTGGTTCTTCAATTGAAGTCTTGAAGGATATTTTTGGTCCTGTTTGAAAGCAATGAGTTGACTGGTACGGTAAAGAGTAGCAATGTTTCTGTCTTTCTGTAACTAGTTCATCACTTGCTGACTTGTAGGTGGATTACAAACTCCATGTCTGAATTAATTTCATGTGAAGTTGAAAGTGTTGTAGATTTTCAGTCCATTCCCTACTCACAATACGTGATTGTATTCTCATCTCATTTATTTATAATGCGGGTCTCAAACTTTTCCCTTTGTAGTGAACATTTTTGTCTCCTTGTTCGCAAACCAGACCAAAATATTTATGTCAAATGGCCTCCTTGTATAAAATACTCTTGTGATCTTTTCCTGTGGTACTAGTAACTGGAAACATGTGCTTGGTAGTGTTAGTTCACCTGAACAACAGAAGAATGGATTTGAAGCAAAGCCAAAAACCAACTTTTTTTTGAAAGGTTGTGATGTTTTTTCTTTATCATTGGCTACAAATATTAAGAGCAAGAAATTAAATTTACTAAGAAAGGTTTGAGTTTGAATATTCTTGTATTACAATTATTCATGACACATGTACACACAGACCTGCAGGTTGTTAAGTCCCAGATTTTCTTATACTCAGGTTGCTGATCAATGAAGTTGTTTACTGCAGTTTTGTGGCAGTTGAAATGGGTTTTTTCTTTTAGGAAGTTTCAAATATTTACTGACCTTTGTCTGTTATTACTGTATGATTTTTGTATACTCAAGAGACCTGTTTTGAAAAGGAGTAGTCTTAAATTGCAGCAATTTTGTAACGCTTTTGTAAATACCACTCTCTTTTTTATTTTTGTCTGATTACGAATGTCGATATGCATCTATACATATTTATCAAATTACGTCCGTCCTTAGCATCTGAAACTATGAAATTATGAGTGTTTTGTGCAACTTTTATATTTTGAGGGACTCCTCATGTATTATTTACTCTATATCATATAATAAATGATTTCATGTACTTTTGAATTTAATTTTTATTCGTGATAATTTTCACAGGAGGAAAAAGACAGTGTAGATAAACTTTAGATTACTACTTTGTACAGTAGTAGAAGAGGAAAGTCAAAATCCACTGCAGAAATTGTTTCAAAATTTTACTGGTATTGGTTAAAGCAAAATTATATTATAACTTCAGAAAACTTAAGTTTGCCTCTGCTTGGCTCATCGAAAGAAAGAACTTTGATGTTTGATTAATTTATTTGCCAGTTATCACCCCTCTTGTAAATGTCAGACACAGAGGAGAGAAATGGATGCCATCTTTTGTACATGATGATCATGATTGAAACTTAGTTATATGAAATTGAAGTGTCCATAAAATGCATTGCCTTTGTTAAAATACAGTATAAGTTATAACACGGAGAGGCCGAACACAGCAGACTCGAAATCATGCATCCTTTGAACTGTACAAAATGTACCTGTTGTCCTGGGGTTTTTTTTCTTGTTTATCTTTGCAAGATATCCCTAGAAGCGCCAAGGCTGGTCCCGGCGAATTCGAGCTATCCATGTTATACTGTAGTTGTCTTTTCTGGGGTTAATATTAATTCACTACAGTTTTGTGTCGAAAGCTCAAATCTATCAGGGAATCAAAATTGTATTAAAAAATTGTACGAAACAAAACAAAGGAAGTGTAAGTAAAGTGGCTGTTACTAACAGATCGAGCAGTGTATTCATGAGTACTTGTACTTAGTCAACTTTGTTTCAAATTTTTTTAGCCCCTCTGGCTTTTACTTTTAAACTAAATGTCAAACTTTGATATTAAAAAAGTGAAAAGAAAAAAAAGTACTCCAATGCTTCTTTGCTGGTCCCGTAATTATTGCAAAGAGGGTGAAACAGATAGGCCTACTCAAGTTTCTTGTGACAGTGATGATTTGTAGCAATTCAGGAAAACCCTCCAGTTGTTGCCGTTTGCTCGTGTGAGCCAGAAGGCAAAATGGTTTAAACTCCAGTGCTTGTGGTGAAAAACCCTTAAAATGGTGTGTCGTTTATGCAGTTTCTGAATCTAAAAGAATAAAAAAAATGTAGCAGCATTGCAGTGCCTTTGTAGTCATCTCTTTCATTTAAAAGTCTATACAAAAATGATTGTGTGAAGAGTTTTCTTGGACTGGCTCACATATTTGTTTCTATTTTCAGCATAAAAAACCTTGATTTTGCCATGTTACTGTGCTGTAATTTTGGCCATGTGTGTAGTTTTTACAGTTGGGTGTGGATAACTCAAACTCATTGGGAATTGGTGACTGTATTTAACACATCCATTATAATTCGATAGCAAAAATTGAAGGGGTGCCAGTTGGGGAATGGCAAATTGTAGGACCCATTGGTGATTTTACGTTTTTCATGTTCATGTTATCTGTGTCCGACTACCGTACTTTGAAATGTTCCTGTGTGACCTGTGGTGAGTGTTTCCACTGGACAGCTTCCTTCCCTGCTTCTCTGTTACATCATGTCAACTCCGTCCATTTTTTTTCCAGATCTGACAATCTTTATAATTTATGCTATTTACAATATGTCTTTGTTTTTTATTCTGCATAATTTGAATGAGGTTAACATATCATCTTCTCAGTGTAATACCGGGTGCCCGTTGGCGCGACGTGGTCGAGTCGGACACAAAGTAATCGCCCAACTCGTCGCCTCAAATACAAACGCGTTTGTTTTCAGCCGACGAGTCGGGCGATCGACCCAACCCAACCTGATCCCATCGACAATGGGCTCTCGGTGTAAGAAGAAGAATCTGTTATACGTCACTTGTCAAAATGGCATATGGTGGACGTCTTACACAAGGCAGTCGATGTGGCGACATCTCAACATGTGACACACTACACCCACCCATCCTCGACTGAGTCCCGGGTTGTTTGAGTTACACTGAAGAGAAACATGTATCAACACAAAATTAGTCATTTCATATTGGGGAAAAAGTAAGATGGACAGGGACACCAGAGAGATAGGAAAGGAGTAGGACTACCAGTGTCGCCCTCCAGCAACCATCGGCTGGTCGAGTCAAGTATGGAGGTGAGCCACCAAAAGTCAGAGGTCTTGAAGAGGCACTATCGAAACAAGGGAAATAGATCTGATGTAAAGCTTTCCCAGCAAGCAATTTAAGACTGTTTAGCAGCTGGCCTAAATCTATGACCGTGTTATTTCTGTTACTCGCGATATAAGCTTTCTTCCTGGCAGTGAAAATGAACAGTTTATTGGTTATCATGCACTCTTTTCTTTCACTGAATTTTATGTGAAGATTGTTTTTGCTTTGACGGGTGTTGCCTTTGCTTAAAAGTGTGAAGATATTGAAAATTGATGAAGTTGAAGTGTGAATCTTTTATGTAATGCGTATTTTTAAGGAATGGCAATGTATTCAGATTCAGATTCACGTTTAACTTTTTTTCTTTTTTTGGGTTATCTTCATTTTTCTTTGTGCCTTGAATCTGATGTTTTCCTAGTGATCTCAACTGTACATCAGCTCTCCACAAAGCACAGCAGTTTCTTATGCTTTATTTTGTTGTGCTTCTGCACGTCCATAGCAAGGATGAGTCAAGGACATAGGACTTTGACTCACTGCGTTTCTCAGCTACAGGTTCTTGCTAAGATAAAAGTGAAAGATGACTAAGTTTTCACAGAGTATTTGCTCACATTTTAGGGGAAGAGCTTTCGTTATGTTATTTGTCTGCAAGTTGGAACTGAAACACATTTTAATGCAACTTATGTTCAGGGCTGTAACCATTGCAGAAAACCTTGTGTTCAAAATATTCCTTGGTTCTAAAGTTTTAAATTCACTTTGTCACAGATTTAGTGTAATGAATCTGGAGGGTTTTTTTTAGATCAAATATAGTACGAGCAAGTCCGTCCTATATCAGGGTGCTTACACCATTTTTGCAACAAGTATTTGCTTAACTTTTGTTCATACCCCCTTTCGACTTTCCCAATCAAATGTTCTGTGGGTTCAAATGTTGGACATTTTTTCCTTGTTACCTTTGTGGACAAGAAGCATAGGAATAGGACTACTATTAACTATATTATGTACACTGAAAATCTAAAGCGACTGGATTAGATTTAGAAGCAAGGTTTCAACTTTCCTTAGAACAAATGAGTATGCGTCCTGCTTCATTTCACTTGCTGTGTGTCTCTGAACAATTTGCTGACTGCCATTCTCTCTTTTAGGAGGATGAAACATAGGCCTATATATAATATATATCTCTAAATATGTATACACTTTTAATGATAAAGTTTTATTTCCTGTTCAGCCTTGAAAATAATTCACAAATGGGGTCTAATTAAAATTTATGTAAATGTGGTTGTAGTTGTCCTTAAGATTTGTGCAAACTTGGAAACGGTTGTCAAATGGTTCGTGCATACCATACTAATGCCAATAGTCCCGTCAGTCTTTATGACACACAATGTCTGCATTTAGTAACATACTTTTCTCTTTCACTTTCAGCCAGGTTACATCAAGTCCTTCGTATCTACAATACTAACTGGTGCAGTTCTATAGAGTCGTATTATATCATACTTATTGAAATCAACATGTGATGGGAATATTATAAGTAGACCATATATATATATATATATAGTAAATACTGTCATATTAAAAAGCTTCGAAAGCATTGCCTTCAATTTCTTTTTTTTTCTTCCATTTTCTAGCATCTGCAATTGTCTGACATTTTTTGGTCCGCAAATCGCGGCTGCGATTTTTGCATTTTTTCCAACAAAAATCCGCCGACGGGAAGAAAAAATAATTTAAAAACCACAACAAAAACGGGGAATAATACTATTCATGAAAAAAAAAGAAACCGAACCTCTTTACTTTTAGAAAGAAAGTTTATTTTCACTTTCGCTTCACTTCGTCTCTTTCTCACTTGTTAACGCGTTGATTTGTAATTTTCGTGTGAAGAATATAAGTAAGCTACATTACATACTATTTATATTGCTGTTCGGTTTTGGTGGAGACACGCTCTAACATAACTCATTTATATATAAAAAAAGGTAGGAACAACATCAAATTAAATTACATTTACGCTCTATATAAAAACAAAAATATAGAAAAACAACACACCAGAACGATAACAAGAAAACAAAATTAACACACCAACAAAGTAAAACCCGACAAAGAGGGAAAAATAAAAGAGAAAAAGCAATATAATATATATACAAATCTAAAAGTAAAAGGATGTAATGTAGTAATGTTTTTCTCATGAAAATAACAAATCAACGTGGTGTCAACAAGTGAGAAAGCGACAACAAAGGGAAGTGAAGGTGAAAATAAACTTAATTTCTAAAAGTAAAGAGGTTCAATTTCTTTTTCTTTTTTTTTCACGATATTTGTTCCCTTTTTTCTAGATCCCCCCCCCCCCCCCAATGTTATTTTATTTATTTAAAATTTTTTATTTTTTTTAACAATGCAAAAGTAAGAGAGAGAGAGAGGGAGGGAGAGAGAGTAACGCAGTGATGGAGCAAGCCACGCCACTACAAGCACACGCAGCGGGTGAAGCATGCGAGGGCTGCGGTGTGCTGCAGACTTCGATCTAGCCCTAAGCTTAGCTACACGCACGCGCAATGTGTCATGTATCCCTGTTCGTGGTTACTTGTGGCAAGGGAAACTACCTATGAATAAATACAGCTGGATTAGTGCACAAATGCTTACTTCCCTTGCATTTTTGATTTAACAGGGATCTGATATAACAACAGGACTTTTTCTCGGGTCTCACCATCCCTATTATATCAGGTTTCCACTGTACTTCACAAATGAGCTGTACCTCTTATTTACATTCTTATTTCTGAAATGTAAAGGTTTAAGTCCTTTACTTGCTTTGTTTGCCTATGCTCAAGCATTTTCCAACATAATTTTAGTATTATGGTGAAATGATATAATTTCCCTGAGACATTACAGGCTATTTGATAGCAACATTTGAAGGGTTAAAGACTGGTTTAAAGTCTTGATTGCAAGTAGTGAGACAGGACTGATAATAATAAATGATATATATATATTCAGCAAGTTCTGAGCAATGAGATCGGGTTTGCTTGGAAATATCATTCATGAAACTTGTGAAGTACAAAAATGTTCCACTTTATGACTCAGAATTAATTTGGGTAACTGGAATGATGTTGACAACATGAACACAGATAAGCAGATGTTATACTATCCAATGACTCGATATGGATGAGCAAGCTTCAGCACTTTAGAATAGACTCTTGAGTGATTTTACTACTACCTGTACTATAATCTTGTTTACTAAGGTTACTGACAAAATCAGCTTTCTTGTGTTTACATAAGCCAAGTGTCATCAAAAAGGATAAAAACCCCAAATCTGGTCAACAAAACAGCAACTAAGACACGGACTGAGAGTTGAAAGTGCAATAGCACCTGGACCTTTATTGCAGGAAAATATAGACATATAGTGTATTCCCAAGAAACCCGAGGCTGTTAGAAGGACAGAACAAAAAACTGCTTGCATGATGACAAAATATGGGCTTTCTAATTATGGAGTGATTGTAGTTCTGGGTTGTAAAATACAGGGTCAAAAAGTACATCAGTGTTACAAGGTACAGGTGTGGGAAAAACACTGTACACATGATGTTTTAATGCAGTAACTGTAAAGAAAGATTTTGGTAGATGGATTGAAAATTTGTATTTAATAATAGTAATAATAATAATAGAGCATGTATAGTGGAAATTCCCACTCAGCAGCAAGCTCCATGAGCTTTACACTCTATACTATTACCACAGCAGACCTGATAGCACACAAAAAATCTCAACTTCCTGGGAAGCATACAGTGCAAGCTGCTATTTAATTAAAGGCATTAAAATACTGACAAGATCTTTCGCTGCAAACTCCCACCTGGGTGAAGTAAGGAAAATTCGTATACAGTGCCTTTCCCAAGGATACAACTCATTGAGAGGAATAAGATTTTTCTCTGGGTAAAATCCAATCACACAAGCCCCCATGGATGTGTCAAGATGACAGCAGTTGAGGACTGGAATCTCTGAAAGTCCATTTCTTGTGGCTGAAACAGAGCAGTTTCTTCTTCTACACACTTATAAAAGTAAGAAGCAAGAATACAGACAACTGGCAGGGAGACAGAGGAGTGTAATGAGGGAAACAGGATAGACGCTCAGATAAAGGTAAAAATATGAAAACAAGCCAACACTTTTTGAGACACTGATGGCCAGAGTATTGAAAAAAAGTTAAGCCATACACATGAATAGTAATGTAATAAACAATTGTATGAGAACTATTGGCCACCATTTCAAAACCAGTAGAATAAAGAAAAACATTGAAGGGCAGTCAAAGTAAGGGTCGTACCGGGGGAAGAGAGATTAGACTACATCTTCGTTACCGGAGAACAGAGACTACATTTTTACTACATTTCTGTATTACAGGTAAACTTGGTAGGCCTATTATGGCTAATCGTACTGAAGAAGGAAGTTGATTATTTTTTTACATTTTTTGGCAAATTCCAACCCATAAAATCTCAACACAAAAATATACGAATATAATATGCCCCTCACCCTTTTCCCAAACTTAGACACAGTGGTTGTAAGTAAATATTTTACTATATCAGTCAAAGGTGTATTACATCCAGTTGCTAGTCAAAGGTGTGTAAATATGTTGCCAGGGAAAGGGTTAATCTGTAAGGACGATTTTTTAAAAAAATGCTACCAGCGCAGTCTTAAGTCTGAAAATGCTGAGGGTAAGATATTGAGTCTATATTCAGTCGCACACCTGAAAACGCAAGAGGGAAAAATATTGAGTCTATTTTAATGTCAGCTGCAAAACTCAACAAAAAAAGAGTACATCTTGATCAATATCAACATGAGGAGGTATTCGTTGGGCAGTCTCTGTTCCACAGACAGATCTTTTTCCCGTTATTGAAAATACAGTCACTCTTCCCCGGTCCTCTGAAAGTAAGGCTTATCTATTATGTTTTCCTATGTACACTGAGGCAGATCATGAATGAAACTGGACCAACCTTGAGGACGATTGGTCCTACTTTGTCAGTCAGTGAGTTTCGATAACAGTCCATGTCAGTTTTCGGAAAATTTAAAACGGACCCACAACCGCATTCTCTGCAATTTTTGCAATTGTGGGTGTTTTTAGCCCCCATCGACATTATCTAAATTTTACAGGAGGAGACGGGTGGCTTCTGCCTTACTTGTCAGGGCCAAACCAGGCTGATAAGGACACAAGGTCCTAAGTCAGAGATGGAGAAGATATTCAATAAAAAAAATCTTTCTACACAAGAAGTCAACTCCCATCTTTCTCACATGGCGGCAAAGCACCGATACAGACACGTTCTCTATGCAATGGACTACCGCTTTGTTACCAAATGGTGTAAAATGCCGCATCAAATTTCTAATTCTAAAAAAGGTGACGAGTTAAGAAAAAAGGAAATTTTTTTTTCACAAGCCATGAAAAACAACATGGACCATTATCAATATACACTAACGACTGGCAACAAAGACAATCATACCCCAAGAAAGAGAGTAGAAGGCAGAACACAGTATGGTACATAACATGGATTCAGTACATTTCAACAACAGTACACATCAAATGACCAAAGTGAGAAATGGTGATAAATATTCACAGTGAGGATGATAACAGACTCTATGTACATTGCCACACATAGGATTGAAAGGGGAGGGACGTAACGGTCAAGGTCAGTTCACTGAAGTCTCGCTAGGGTCTGCGACAATTGTTTGTCTCTGATGTGAGCCTCCTCCTTTAGCCTGTCCAGTCTTTGGTCCATCTCTCTGTCCACAGTTTCCAGACGTCGGACAAACATTGCCATCTGGTTCTGGAAAGGAGGAGCAATAGAATATTTAGCGATACTGGTGTTTACAGCACTTGCAACACAATAAGGTCATATAAATGCTGAAGATTAGAGGCGTTACAAGATAGTAACAAACACAAAAAAGGAGGAGAGATCAGGATGATAGATGTTTGCCGACCTGCCCCTCTATGAACTCTAAAAATCAGGATTTCAGAGTGATAAATCAGGATCTCGAGAAAAAAATCGGGATCAATGGAAAATCAGTCATAAGGGCACTGGGGAGGGGTCACAGTTCCCTTTTATGAGGCAAGCGTACAAGACAAAACTTCTGCAGGAATAAGTTCACATTTGGGCCTCAAAATAGAGGGAAAAAACTGATAGAGAGCATGTACTCGAGTCAAGACTTGGATAGACAGAGGGAGTGCAGGTTGCAGTGATGCTGAAACTCTCGTATCACAGCACAGCCAAGTGTCAAAACAATACCCCCATCCCCTCCCCCGGGTTAAGTCCCGAAAAACACCTCAACCAAAGCGACCAGTGGGAGTGAACTTTGTCGACCCCAGCAGCCGACGGTCCCGACACACGCGCTACTCAGACGTACGGGGTCATGTCACGTGATGTGAACGAGTGTTTGAAAGTTCCACCACAGACAGGTCTTGATGATTGGCCTGACTGACCAGAACACGAACGAAGCTTGATTAATTTTAGACCCATGTCATAATTGTTACAATAATCAGGCCATCATCGGAAAATTCTGGGTAGGCCAACAAAAGTGAAAGGGGGAGGGGAGGAAGTGATTGGAAGGCACCACTTTGTGGACTGCTGGTCTCAGTGAAGGGTATACATGATTACAGTTCTTGCACCATACCTTAAAAATCTCCTTGTGAGCTGTGACGGCTTCGGTGACTTTTTTCTTCAGCTCTTGTAAGTCACTTAGCTCCTTGCTGGCCTCCTGCCTCCTCCCTTCAAGCCTGCAATGAAAATGTTCATTTGTCATTGCAAAGGTTTAATGTCCCTGAGGATGTCTAAGAGGTGGGACCTCAAAATTTCAAGCCCTTCTCCGATAGGACCAAGCCAAATAGGTGGAGAGAAATGTAGGGCTAGACTACCATGCATAGCGTTTATCTCATCTTGCCGTTCTGAACTGGATGACCTCGTGTGAGCGTGTGCTTCTGTCGCTTTGTTGTGTGTTGATGAAGCTGTGCCTTGTATTTGCTTCTGTGTTCAGTTACAATAGTGGAATTGACTGGAATTCTCAGTGATGATATGTCGTGTTATTAACGTGATTTTCTTGTGCGAGCTGTTCTAAACGGAAAACTACTGCTTTCCATAATTGATTTGCCCTTTTTAAAACCAGACTATAAGGATAAGTTATCAATGCAAAAGTGGCCATTTTGTTTAGTTTTAGTAAGAGTTTTACGGCACTTGCAACACAATAAGGTCATATATGCGCCAAAGATGTTACAAGAGAGTAATAAACACAAAAAAGGAGGAGAGATAAGGACGATAGATGTTCGATGGGAAAGACGGAATAAACCTCACCAGAGCACCCATCAACCACCCACACATACAGACAGTGTCTTGTACAACAGACTTACAGACAGTGTCAAAGACTTACAGACGGTGTGCCTCCTTATAGTCCTTCTCCGCTTCTGTCCTAGCCGCCTCGAGTGCGGCTCTTTCAGATTCACGCTGTGCCAGATCTTGTTGCACCGACTCCATCTCACTGGAGACTGACTTTTTGTCCGAATGGATCATCTGAAAGGAGAAGTCATCGGAGAACAAGAGCATTAATAACTTATCATTTGAATTGAAAACCTAGTATCTGACAAAAATCACGATTTTAAAAAAAAGTTTTCACCTATATGTTCTGTTCAAATTTTACTATTTCAATAACATTTGTATATTCCTTGAATATAAAGACAACTAATCTCCATTACTCCTGACTTTTCCTTTCGATACTCCAGGCTCCTTTTTACTGCTATCTTCATCCAAATCCCTGATCTTCAGGAAAGTAAACCACGAGACAGTCACTATCATAAGGTGTACATAGATTTTTTAATTCAAATGCTGTTTCCACTATTCCCACACTCAATAACCAACAATTCAGCCAGCTGACCCATTAAAAGCTGTTTATAACAAGGGAGCCTGCAAGCTGTTCAAAATCTGATCATTTGAATTTTCTGATCCCTAGGCTCTCAGTATGAAACATTTTCTAACATTACTTATTTGTCAATACTACCTGTTTGACAGAGTTGATTTCTCCCTCCAGGCTTGCCAACTTTTTCTCCTGTTGAACCATTTGCTCCGTTTGTTCGTGCACAGACTCTTCCAACTACAAAAGATGAAAGTAGATATTAGTAGTGAACACAAGAGTAGAACAATCAGTAACACCATAAACAACTGAAGTACACACGAGTCTGAAAACCTGCAAAAAAAAAGTCCTGCTGTTTCCAAACCAAAATCTAGTTAACAAGGTAGGCCAATACAAACCCACCAATAGAATAAGCTGTATTAATGAGTCACAATATTGTAGTTCTTTACGCGAAAGAAGCAGCAGAATAGTGTTTATTCATAATGGTAACATAAAGTTACATGAAGAACACTTGTGAAAAGAAAGAAAAAAAATGTCAGATTTTCTTAAAGGGTTTCAATAAAGAGATGCACATTGATACGATTACAACCATGTATTGCAGGGAAAAAGCAAAGCAGACAAGAAAAAGTAGGACCTATCAGTGGTGACCTACAAACTCTCAAATTTCTATAAAAAAATGTCCAGAAACCATTCGGAAGTAAATAACCTTTGATTTCTCCCTCCCTCCCCCCCCCCCCCCCCCCCCCCCCCCCCTAATAAACAAAACCAGGACAAAATAAATGGGAGAACTTTGTTCAGATAACATTATCACTTTCCCGTCCAGAGAGTTTTTCCACGTTTGTGCCTAGCCATCATCTTGTACTGAGAATGAGAGGTAGGAAAAGGCTAAATACGAGAATGATTTCATCCCACCAATTTAGACCAATACATGTTTGCAATGTGAGGTTTAGACAACAGTTTGCATTGAAATATTTCATGGTGTGAATCTGATAGACCTTGAACACCCAGAGTTGAGCCATTGAACATCAACAATATATATAGCAGACTGGCATGGAAAGAGTCTACTGATCAGCAAAATGTAAGTAGGAAGCAACAAAATCAGTCTGAGATATTACCTTCTCCAATTCACATTGCAGCTGGAACATTTCCTTGTCCTTCCTCCGCGCCTCTTCCATGCACTCGTTCTTAATGGATTTGAGCATCGGCTGTGGAAGACAAGAAATTGAGTTTGAGTAAAAAGAAAGATGGACAGATAGAAAGAATATAAGGGGGTAAAAAATAAAGGACCTACCAATGGCGCTCTCTGAACAACTCACTAGCTATAAGTCAAGAGAAGAAAAAAACCAACTTGGAGAAACTTTAGACCAGACACTATACCGCGAATGAACTGGGCAAAGATTACAGAAACTCAGAGGTATTGATAAGAACATGAAATATAGGATTAGCATTGTAGTAAAAGCACAAGAAAAGTTTATATTCTATTTACACACGAAACCTCATTTTTCCGGTTAGGTTAGGTTTTACTAGAGGTTTTACGGGGCTCGCAAATGCATAAGGTCATATAAATGCCAAGGGGTGGATGTCAACAGAGAAGTCCTTACAGGGAATCACACTCTGCTCCCCTCTTTAGCTTCAACAGCACAAAGTCTGCTTCGACGACTATCAAGGCACCCCGGAAATAGCGGGTCACAAGAGTGTGACAAACACACAAAAGAAGTTAGAGTAAAAAATGACGATAGTAAGGATTGGGAAAGAAAAAGCGGCAGTTCTCTGTTGCAGTTCAGGCAGTTATGAGCAAGACATCGATGGATCAGCCCATTTACAATTCTCTGTGCATAAGAACAGGTTAATATCCCCCCTTTGGGAATGGCCTAAACTTAAGCGTAAAGACACTTCAGTCAGTAGCACCGCCCCGGGGTAGGGGTGGGGGTATTTTCCTGTTATGAATCCTATCAAGTTACAAAGAATTTATAATTTAAATACACAAAGATAAAACGTAAAAAGCACAACTGTATTCTTAATTGAAAATGGTGGAACTGTATGATGCACAATACTCCAAACTTTTTAAGCAATGTGCAAAATCAAGGTAAACACAACAACCCCTCCCCAACCTGCAGTTGATCCAGAGCGACTGGGAGCAAGTTTTCTCTCAGTTGACTCAAAAGAGTGAGTAAACAGAGACTTTTGAGAAAAGGTGAAAAGAGATAAAGAAAGAAATTTATAACAATAGTCCAAACCTTGATGGTGCTTTCAAATTTGCCTACAATATCAGCACTGAAGCCAGCAAACAGCCGGAAGTCGATGCCGTTGGCAAGTTCTGCAGTCTCGGGCACCAGTTTCAACACGATGGCTAGTCTGTTATATGTTGCCACTTCATTCTCAACCTGGTGGGTAGAAAACATACAAATACCAAGTGGTTAGTGAGCTTAGGCTCGCAACAAGGGTCAAGTGGTCACTGGGTGTGTCCTTGTGCAAGACATACATACCTGTTGTTATTGCTATGTTACAATGGTGTCCGCCTAACAGCAAACTCCTTAATAGGAAGCAAGCCTTGGTTGCTTTCAGGATGAGGTTGCTGCATACAGAATTTTCCAAAGGGGGTATCTAGCCCCCCATTTTTTATTTTTCAGCTTGCCACAACCGACGACCATGGGAAATGTTACATCCAGAATCTAGATATCAGAGTGAAACTTTTTTTGTGAATGGCAAATTACCCTCAGTACTAGTATTGGTACCGGGGTGGCTACCTCAATTTTCTGTGCATTTTAAAAACTTTTGTACATTGGTTTATATTTTTTTATGAAACTGGTTTGTTTCTAAATGGGACAAGTCAAAGTAACTTACTAAAATTTCAAGATCTCTTGTTCTTTTATTCACTGAAGGAGAAATAAAACAGATTTGTTCCTACTAGTACAGAAGTATGAGGTTGAATGTGCCCCACCCCCCTATTGATTTTGGACCACTTGTCCACACCCCCCTTTTATTCGATACTTTAGAGTGGCAGCATAGTAGATGAGGTTCCACAAGAGTGTGTCCTTCCTTTCAAGTAAACAGATGCTCAATCAGGGCTCCCCTTTACGCACAAATGTGCATATATTACACATTAAACCTGCAGATTACCCCCCTTTAAGTTTTGGTTGTGCGTGAGCTTTACTCTTTATAATTTATAATTTCATTTTGGGGGTTTGCATACGCTTTAAAACGTAGGTGGTGTGCGTCTGGCAAGCATCATTTCCCCCTTCTCTTTCCAAAAGCCGAGTCAATGATTTGACGACACACCCACACACATGAACGACAGTCACCTTCTGTGTCAGAAGAAGTCTACTAGTTGAGCTACTTATTCAGCAGCGCGCAGTTTCCAGCAACACAGGCATGCTTCAGCACAGAAGCTCCGCCCACATTCTGGTCGCTCACATTTCCCAGTGTTGTGCCTTGAGTTAACCCCTGCCGTGAGATTACCCCCATCCTTCTTTAACCCACTAGTAAACATGAATTGTCCGTCTTCGAAAGTGTGGAAAGACTGGAATGCGAACCCTGGGATGGCTTTGAAGAATAATGAATCAGTTTATATTCCAAACCTGTCACTAATCCCTGCCCTAAATCTCAAGCATCCCGATTTTCCCCATTTTGATCTGCGTGTACTCTGATTTTTTTGTTAAATTTTTTGTTCCGCCTGTTGCGCCGGATTTTTCTAAAATATTACTCTTGCCTTCTTTTCTGTCGTGGGAAGCACTCGTTAAACTTTTTGTCACCAAAAACTTGGGGCACTTTTTTCCAAAATGTCTATGTCGAATTTAGTAGTTGACTCACCAAAAGTTGTCTTGAATCTTTGCTCACACGTGTTATTTCAACTATAATGGATTGAAAGTAGTAGTGATTTGGCATTCCGACTTAAGACATTCTCAAGATATACTTTCGCCAAAACATGCTTTGTCCAGTTTTGGTTAGTCGGGCCCGTCATCAAGACCCGTCAGTAAAACTGTTTCAATCGTGCGTTTGCACCACGTGACAAGACTTGGCGTGTGAGTTCCGCGTGTGTCGGGGACCGTCATTGACAGGGTCAATTTAAGTTCTTGCACACTGATTGAAGAGTCTTTCTGGACTTATCCGAGGGGGGGG